TTTCCTGTGCAAGTCAAAGTCCGGCATGGAGATCTTGGGTGCCTTGACGTGCATCTCGGGCATCTTGAACTTGGGGCCCTTCAGCTTCCCCTCTGGCCCTTCCAGCTCAACATCAGGAAGGTCGACGTCCAGTTTAGGGCCTTTGACGTCAACGCCCGGGCCTTTCAAATCACCCTCAAGTTTCGGAAGAGAAACGTCCACATCCCCCTTCACTTTGGGGCCTTTCAGGTTCAGGTCAAAGTCCGGCATGGAGATTTTGGGGGCTTTGAAATGCATGTCGGGCATCTTAAATTTGGGACCCTTTACCTTCCCTTCTGGACATTCTAGCTCAACATCCGGAGCTTCTATATCCACTTTCGGACCTTTTACCGTAACCTCAGGCCCTTTCAGGTCACCTTCTAACTTGGGAACGGAAACACATTCTAGCTCAACATCCGGAGCTTCTATATCCACTTTCGGACCTTTTACCGTAACCTCAGGCCCTTTCAGGTCACCTTCTAACTTGGGAACGGAAACATCGACGTCCCCCTTTCCTTTTGGACCTTTCAAGTTCAGATCGAAGTCCGGCATGGAGATCTTGGGAGCCTTAAAATGCATCTCAGGCATCTTAAATTTGGGGCCTCTCAACTTCCCCTCTGGGACCTCAATATCCACATCAGGAGCTTCTATGTCCAGTTTAGGACCTTTGATATCCATCTCGGGGCCTTTCAAGTCACCCTCTAGTTTGGGGGCTGAAAGATCCACGTCTCCCTTCAGCTTAGGACTTTTCAGGTTCAAGTCGATGTCGGGCATGGAGATTTTTGGTGTCTTGAAGTGCATTTCAGGCATTTTGAACTTGGGGCCTTTAACTTTCGCTTCCGGACACTCTAGGTCAACATCGGGAACGTTAACATCCAGTTTAGGGCCTTTGACGTCAACGCCCGGGCCTTTCAAATCACCCTCAAGTTTCGGAACGGAAACGTCCACATCCCCCTTCACTTTGGGGCCTTTCAGGTTCAGGTCACAGTCCGGCATGGAGCTCATGGTGGCTTTGAATTGCATGTCGGGCATCTTAAATTTGGGACCCTTTACCTTCCCTTCTGGGCCCTCGATGTCTACGTCAGGAGCTTCGATGTCGACTTTGGGCCCTTTGAGTTCCAGATCCGGCCCTTTCACATCACCCTCTATTTTCGGCACAGAAACATCCATTTCTCCCTTCAGTTTGGGACCTTTCAAGTTGAGGTCAACATCAGGCATAGAAAATTTAGGGGCCTTAATATGCATATCCGGCATTTTTATCTTGGGTCCTTTCCATTTTCCCTCAGGACCTTCAACATCGAGATCAGGAACATCAACATCCAACTTTGGAGCTTTAATACTCACATCAGGTCCTTTGAAGTCGCCCTCTAATTTTGGAACAGAAACATCGGCACCCCCCTTCACTTTGGGGCCTTTCAGGTTCAAGTCAATGTCGGGCATCGAGATCTTGGGTGCCTTAAGGTGCATCTCGGGCATCTTAAATTTGGGACCTTTCAGTTTTCCTTCAGGACACTCAATGTCCACACTTGGCAACTCGATATCTACCTTTGGGGCGGAAACATCAATATCCCCTTTTGGGAGGTTCACGTCCACCTCCGGACCTTCCGCCTTGAAGCCAGGCATCCCGAACTTGGGCATTTTGAACTTGGGCATTTTGAATTTTCCTTCTGGGCCGTGAATGTCCACGTCGGGGGCCTCGATGTCGACTTTGGGACCTTTGATGTCAATGCCGGTGCCCTTCAAGCCACCTTCCAGCTTGGGAACTGACACGTCCACATCCCCCTTCACTTTGTGGCCTTTCAGGTTCAAGTCAATGTCGGGCATCGGGATCTTGTGTGTCTTGATGTGCATCTCGGGCATCTTGAACTTGGGGCCCTTCAGCTTCCCCTCTGGCCCTTCAATGTCCAGCTCCGGACCTTCAATGTCCACCTTCGGAACAGAAACATCCAGGTCTCCTGTCGGCAGGTTCACGTCCACCTCCGGACCTTCTCCTTTCAGCCCCGGCATCCCGAACTTGGGCATTTTGAACTTGGGCCTTTTGAATTTTCCTTCTGGGCCGTGAATGTCCACGTCGGGGGCCTCGATGTCGACTTTGGGGCCCTTGATGTCCACCTCGGGACCCTTCAGGTCACCCTCGCGCTTGGGAGCTGAGACTTCAATATCCCCTTTCATGCTGGGCCCTTTCAGATGAATGTCCACATCGGGCACGGAGATCTTGGGCGCCTTGATGTGCATCTCGGGCATCTTGAACTTGGGGCCCTTCAGCTTCCCCTCTGGCACTTCAATGTCCAGCTCCGGACCTTCAATGTCCACCTTCGGAACAGAAACATCCAGGTCTCCTGTCGGCAGGTTCACGTCCACCTCCGGACCTTCTCCTTTCAGCCCCGGCATCCCGAACTTGGGCATTTTGAACTTGGGCATTTTGAATTTTCCTTCTGGGCCGTGAATGTCCACGTCGGGGGCCTCGATGTCGACTTTGGGACCTTTGATGTCAATGCCGGTGCCCTTCAAGCCACCTTCCAGCTTGGGAACAGACACCTCCACATCCCCCTTCACTTTGTGGCCTTTCAGGTTCAAGTCAATGTCGGGCATCGAGATCTTGGGTGCCTTAAGGTGCATCTCGGGCCTCTTAAATTTGGGACCTTTCAGTTTTCCTTCAGGACACTCAATGTCCACACTTGGCAACTCGATATCTACCTTTGGGGCGGAAACATCAATATCCCCTTTTGGGAGGTTCACGTCCACCTCCGGACCTTCCGCTTTGAAGCCAGGCATCCCGAACTTGGGCATTTTGAACTTGGGCCTTTTGAATTTTCCTTCTGGGCCGTGAATGTCCACGTCGGGGGCCTCAATGTCGACTTTGGGGCCCTTGATGTCCACCTCGGGACCCTTCAGGTCACCCTCGAGCTTGGGAGCTGAGACTTCAATATCCCCTTTCATGCTGGGCCCTTTCAGATGAATGTCCACATCGGGCACGGAGATCTTGGGCGCCTTGATGTGCATGTCTGGCATCTTGAACTTGGGGCCCTTCAGCTTCCCCTCTGGCCCTTCAATGTCCAGCTCTGGACCTTCAATATCCACCTTCGGAACAGAAACATCCAGGTCTCCTGTCGGCAGGTTCACGTCCACCTCCGGACCTTCCGCCTTGAAGCCAGGCATCCCGAACTTGGGCATTTTGAACTTGGGCCTTTTGAATTTTCCTTCTGGGCCATGAATGTCCACGTCGGGGCCCTCAATGTTGACGTTGGGGCCCTTGATGTCCACCTCGGGACCCTTCAGGTCACCCTCGCGCTTGGGAGCTGAGACTTCAATATCCCCTTTCATGCTGGGCCCTTTCAGATGAATGTCCACATCGGGCACGGAGATCTTGGGCGCCTTGATGTGCATGTCTGGCATCTTGAACTTGGGGCCCTTCAGCTTCCCCTCTGGCCCTTCAATGTCCAGCTCCGGACCTTCAATATCCACCTTCGGAACAGAAACATCCAGGTCTCCTGTCGGCAGGTTCACGTCCACCTCCGGACCTTCTCCTTTCAGCCCCGGCATCCCGAACTTGGGCATTTTGAACTTGGGCCTTTTGAATTTTCCTTCTGGGCCGTGAATGTCCACGTCGGGGGCCTCGATGTCGACTTTGGGGCCCATGATGTCCACCTCGGGACCCTTCAGGTCACCCTCGAGCTTGGGAGCTGAGACTTCAATATCCCCTTTCATGCTGGGCCCTTTCAGATTAATGTCCACATCGGGCACGGAGATCTTGGGCGCCTTGATGTGCATGTCTGGCATCTTGAACTTGGGGCCTTTCAGCTTCCCTTCAGGGCACTCCAAATCAATATTGGGTGCCTCAACATCTAGTTTTGGCCCCTTAATGTCTATTTCTGGCCCTTTCAAGTCACCTTCTATCTTAGGAGCCGCAATATCCATTTCTCCTTTCACTTTAGGTCCCTTTAGGTTCAAATCTACGTCTGGCATGGATATTTTAGGTGTTTTGATATTCAGCTTCGGCATCCTGAACTTGGGGCCTTTCCATTTTCCTTCTGGTCCTCCGACCTCCAGCTCTGGCACGTCAACATCTGCCTCTGGCCCAGAAATATCTATCTCTCCTTTTGGCAGGTTGACATCGATATCGGCTCCCTCAAACTTTGGGCCGGACACGTTAAAATGAGGCAATTTCATTTTTGGCGTTTTCAGTTTGGCTTCTGGACACTCCAGGTTGACATCTGGGACCTCAACATCTATTTTCGGTCCCTTGATATTAACGCCAGATTCTTTCAAGTCACCTTCTATCTTCGGAAGGGAAACATCCATCTCTCCTTTCATTTTATGGCCCTTTAAGTTCAAATCTACATCCGGCACGGATATTTTAGGCGCCTTGATATTAAGCTTAGGCATCTTAAATTTGGGGCCTTTTATTTTCCCTTCAGGACACTCCAAGTCTACCTCAGGCATATCGACATCCACTTGGGGACCTTCCACATCTATTTTGGGGCCCTTCAGATCTCCGGAGGTCTTCAGACCAGAAATATCTGCATCTCCTTTCAGTTTGGGGCCCTTCAAATTGAGGTCTACATCCGGCATGGACAGTTTTGGCGCCTGGATGTTTAGTTCAGGCATTTTAAATTTGAGACCTTTTCCTTTTCCTTCCGGCCCTTCGATGTCCACGCTCGGCACATCGATATCGACCCTGGGAGCAGAAATGTCCACCTCGCCCTTTGGAAGCGTCACGTCAACGTCGGGGCCCTCTCCCTTCAGGCCGGGCACCCCAAACTTGGGCATTTTCAGCTTAGGCATCTTCAGCCTGCCCTCCGGACCGTGGACGTCCACCTCTGGTGCTTCAATGTCAACCTTGGGGCCTTTGATGTCAAGCCCAGGACCCTTCAAATCAGCTCCTACCGTGGGAACGGAAACATCCACGCCGCCCTTCACTTTGGGGCCTTTCAGGTTCAGATCAACATCTGGCACACAGACCTTTGGAGCTGTGATGTGCATCTCGGGCATCTTCACCTCGGGACCCTTCAGTTTTCCTTCTGGCCCTTTGATGTCCACGCTCGGCACATCGATATCCACGCCGGGACCAGAAATGTCCACTTTACCCTTTGGAAGCGTCACGTCAACGTCGGGGCCCTCTCCCTTCAGGCCGGGCACCCCAAACTTGGGCATTTTCAGCTTAGGCATCTTCAGCCTGCCCTCCGGACCGTGGACGTCCACCTCTGGTGCTTCAATGTCAACCTTGGGGCCTTTGATGTCAAGCCCAGGTGCTTTCAGCTCCCCTTCCAGTTTTGGGGCAGAAACATTCAGGTCTCCTTTCACTCCGGGACCTTTCAGATTCAAGTCGATGTCAGGCATGGATATTTTGGGGGTCTTGACGTGTACCTCTGGCATCGTAACTTTGGGGCCTTTGACATCTACGTCAGGCATGTCCATTCCCAGTTTGGGGCCTTTAACGTCAAGCTGAGGTCCTTTCAAGTTGCCACCCACCTTTGGGACAGAAACATCCACGCCTCCCTTAAGCTTAGGTCCCTTCACGTTAACGTCCATATCTGGCGCAGATACACTGGGCCCTTTCACATAACCCTCTGGACTTTCAAATTCAACATCAGGAGCCTTTACGTCCATCTTGAGACCCTTGGAGCCAAGTCCTTTGACATCCCCTTCCACTCTGGGAACCGCCGCACCCATATCTCCCTTCACCTGAGGGCCTCTCAGGTTCAGGTTTACATCCGACAGCGAGATTTGGGGCGTTTCAACCTTCTTGAACTTGGGGCCTTTCCATTCTCCTTTGATGGCCGCATCGGGAACGCCAACGTCTACCTCGGACGCTGCTGGTCCCACCTCGCCCTTCGGGAGCACCATTTCCACAACGGGACCTTCCCCTCGCGAGTCCAAGGCAGTGAATTTTGGGAAGGTCATGTGTGGCATTTTGATTTTTCCCTTGCCGCCGTGACCGTCTGCATCAGAAGCCGGGAGCTCCACGCTGGGTCCTTTGATACCCACGCCGGGGACCTTCGGTTGCGGGGAGGGGACCTTCGCAGCACCCTTCGACCCCATGTCCACCTGCGGCTTTGGGACTTTAACTGAAGGAGCCGAAACTTCGGGTCCGGCCACCTGGACAGGTGAGGAGGCAACGTCCACGCACGGAGCCTGCAGCTTCGGCGCGGGAACGGCGGTGCCCGCCTGCGGGGCTTGAGCTTCGATGCCAGATCCCGCGGTCGGGAACCCAAATCTGGGCATGTTCAAGACGGGAATCTTGATTTTTCCCACATCGACAGCTGGATTTTCCATCGCCGGCAAAGAAACGTCAGCCCCGGGGGCTTTGATATCTCCCTGAAGACAAGGGGCAGAAGCATCGGCGTGCGACAGCGTCCCCCCCAGCAGCTCCCCTTGGACATCCGTGCCAGAAAGGCGTCCTTTGCCATCCAGCCTGAGACCCTCGACGTGAAAACCCGCGTCCAGGTTCCCCATCTGTCCATTTGCTTCAATTCGGGGCGAGCTGCCCTGGGGGCCCAGGAACGCCGTGCCCGAAACGTTACGTCCCGGCACCTCCACCGTAACAGGTTTTCCAGTTTCCCCACCAGGAACTTGGCTCTCCGGCAGCCGAGGGTCCAGCTGAGTCCTCAGGTGAACGCCCGTCGTTTGCGTTCCCGACACGGTTATCCCGGGCTTTCCGAACTGAGCCTCGCCGAGGTGGACGTCCAGCTTCTGGGGAGAAGATTCAGCTGTTGGTCCGGGAGGTGCCCCCCCGATGTCCGTGCTCCAGTCTGTGGCTTGGGTGCTTCTCCCAGACAGATCCCCCGCTGCCATTTGGATCATAGTTTTCCCAGGTTCTGCTTCAACGTCGGTCTTCACCACGTGGGTGACCTCCCGGGTCGGGATCCAGATTTTGAAGTCTGGGCCGATGACGTCGACGTCTTTCGCCCCGTCGTGCCTACTGACATCGACGGTGTACGCCGTCACCTTTCTGGTGACCGTAATGGTCCTGCTCTGCGTCCCGCCGCACTCCGCTTCCACCGCCTCCTCCGACTTCAGCCGGGGTTTGATTTTCGTTGTGTAAATCCTCCTGTACTCCTCGTCATCTCCACTCTGGAAACGAAGAGACCTCCGTTAGCGCCGGGGATGCCGCCTCCCCCTCCTCACCCCCTTCTTCCCCATCACTCACCAGAACGACTTCTGGGCTGCTGGCCGCAAACACGTCGTGTGACCATGACTGTCCCGGCAGCGGAGACTTGTCCCCTTTCCGTTGCAAGCGCAAGCCCACCGTGTGGTGGCCCATGCTGTTGAGCAGCTGCGCGACTTCCCCGGATTGCAGGTTGTCAAAATAGACCGTGGCGCTCACGATCTGATCCCCTGGGGGT